AGTCCCCAAACGACAACCCGTTCGTTATCCGAATCCCGTTCACGACAAAGTTCGGTTCATCTCACACATTCGAACCAGCCGTCCGAGCTTCTTGTCTGCGATCCTTCCACCTCTGCCATGCTGCTCGAATCTCACCACTTCTGAGGTTATCCCCACGTCACGCAACTGCCGACATGTGTTGTGCTGACGCCCTGCCCAATCCTCCCGAGTCGTGCGCCTGAGTAAGATTTCATCGTCGTCATGAAGAGAAGTCCACGGCCAGCCTGCATGAATGTCGCTTGAACATTGAGGAAGCTATGGCCACACTGAGCCACCAACAACGGAAGCCCGGTTCAGGAGTTTGTAACGTCTTCAGCTTGTTGTTCCAGCTTGGTGCTTGAAGCAGACGAAAAAGATCAAAAACATCCTACACACCATGGCGACGGCGAGCTTTGCGGTGGCCAAGAGAATTGTCACGGAAACCACAGAAACCAAACTAAGCGGTCGAAGGCGGCTCAGGTCAAGACCCGGACCGCACGCGGTGAGTGTTCATCGTGTGGCAGCCGGTCAAAGAGCAGTTTATAGCAACACTCCGTCCATCCCAATCTTGCACACTCTCTCTTAACGCGGGCCGAGCGTTCAGACGGACCCGATCAAGACCCCGGTCATTGACAGAAGCCGTCTCCTAGTCGGAGATCCATTCGGGCCCCCCATCCCGGTGCAGCAAGCGGCTAGCTTTGCCAGCCTCGAAATAAGTGTGGGCTGGCTGGGTAGTACGTGAGAAAAAGCAACCACAGCCAGAGAGGTCCAGATACCACAATGCCTCCCAATATACCAGCCCTGTGCCTACCTCACGCACGTGTGCTGCATCGTCAGCTTTGATAAACATGCCTCCCCAGCGTCGAGCCCGTCGTTGTACTAGCGGGATCTACGCTGGTCTAACGGCTTACACTTTGGAACTAAAACAGCACCGCTCGGCACTCCCTCGTACCACAGGGCCGTGTGTTTAGCCTCATCCTCTACAGACAGGAACGCCGCACTCATGTAAACATGCAGCAATGTAGCGGCCCTGCCGTAGGGCAAGCAAGCAAGTAAGCCAGATGGTGTCCTCTGCTGCAACTAACGGCCATCGCAGTTCTAGAATGGACTTCCCCCATCGGACTGTAACCTCCACCATCATGTCTCTCCCGTTCCTCGCGCGGCCAATCAGCTAATACCAGCGGCAGGGCCGCTCGACCTCCGACCTTGCTGCACAGTTCTCGAAATATACTCGTCGTCACCAGTGTCACAACAATGAAACGCCCCTTTTGCAAGCCCCGAGCGTGCGCCTACACAACGTGCCCCAAGAGCCACAACACAAGCACAGAGACGCCCAAGGGAGGCCTGGGTCCTGTCGCCTGGCGGAGACTCTGGAAGGAGGCGGGGAGGCGCACCTCCGAGACGTGTTGTCGGCACGGCATTGATGATATTAAGATAGAGTTATGTCGCAGCTGTTTCCCTCTCTCTTTCGAGATGAACTCCTGTCCTGTTTCCCGCCGATCTAGAGCTGCTGACTGGCTCCCAACATAGCCCCCCTGCTTCCTCTTTCGCGGTAGCTAGCCATCATGTCGCGATTGTGTGGTATGCGCCCTGAAGGGCTGGTGAGTTGCTTCCATTTCCCTTGGCTTGGCCAGTATCCCGTGACATTCCAGCTAATGCTCCGCCCAGACGGTGGATTCGAGGTTCAGCCCTCTTCCGTCGATGTGTTTCTTCGATACCATCATCATTCCTTTACCGGCATGGATTCGTCTTACAGTCACTTTCGCTCTTTTCCACTTCATCGTGCCGGTCCTCATCGTTGACAAGATCAAGCGGTATACCGTTAAGAAGGAATGGCAGAGGCACGCTCAACTATCCGTCTACTTCTTCTCCATACTCGTCGTCTTCCTGATGGAGATTATGGAAATTGCCAGACTCGCAGAGATTCGCTATGCCATTGGCCTTCTTCCCTTCGTCTTCGCAGGCTGCGGTGTATGCGCAGTCATGCAGGCCACCCGCGGCATCAAGGGCAAGATTCGCAACTGGCAGGTGGCGAACATCATTTTCTGGATCATGAGCATCGCCGTAACCATTATCAAGATCCTTACGATTCAGCGCTCCAGCATGCGATTCCCAGAGTTTCGCCGAATGGGAACTGACTATCCGACGACCCACCAGGTGCAGGACTTGGCCGTTATTGCCGGATTTTACGTCCTCCTCTTGGCCAACGAGATTGCGCTCTTCTTCCAGAAGACTTGGGAAGAGACTGTCGACGCTGAGAACATCAAGAAGCTCCGCCTCACCAGGTCGATCAGCGACCAGGCCCGCTACGATCTAACCCGGGCTATCGAGGAGGGCTACTACCCCTCGGGCGTTACGTATCTGACGCTGAGACTCGAGGGCGAATCCCAGAGCGAGAAGGCCGTCAGCAAGGACGACATCCTCAAGAAGACGGCCAGCATGGACGCCTCCATCGCAGGCTCGTCTTCCAGCGAGAAGACGGCTGGCAAGAGGCTCATGGACGAGGACTCCATCGAACCAGTGCCTATGATACCCCCTAGCTTCAGGCGCAACAGCGAGCGGTGGTCGTCGGCTATGACGCTCAAGGACGCTGCCGGAGACGACATGAACGAGAAGGTCGGTGGCAAGGAGAACAGCAAGAAGCGTGGCAGTGAGAGGTGGTCAAATGCCATGACGATCAAGGAACCCACGGCTCTTCGTGACGGTCATGACAAGCGCGTATCAAGCTTCGCCTCCCCTATGGTCGCCGACATTGACGAGATCACGCCCTTGGACCCTCCCTCCACCTCATCATCCAGATACGAAGATGAGCATGCGGCGCAGAAAGCCATGCTCCTTGATAGCCCCTTCCCAATGAAGGAGCTTCCCGACAGGCGCTCCTTTATGCTCAAGCCTTCGCGCCCCAACACTGAGAGATGGTCCAACGCCATGACTCTGCGCGGCGAGCCGTCGTCCGGCAGCGGCAGCCAGGAGCCCTCGCCCAAGGAGCATAAGGAGTACATGCCCGCAGCACCCCCGGCCGCGGCGACGGCCCCGACCACGCCGGAGCGCAGGGCCTCGGCCAGCGAGCGGAACATGATGAGGAGATACTCTGACGCCTCCACGCGGTCCATCAGGAGGTTCTCTGCGCGCAGCGATCTCCGCGAGGCGGCGGCCACGGCGGCGGCGTTTGTGGATGGCGATGAGCCGCTCACCTCGCCCACGGAAGCGCACCCTCTGCAGCCGAATCACCACACGCCATAAACGATCCCCGCGATGACACCGCTACGAGTTCTCTTACCACTTTTACTTCCGCAAATTGTGTATTCATCATCTTCGAATGTTTGAGATGAGGGAGGCTAGTGTATAATGAAAAATATGTAAATCCAACCACAAGATAGGTACCGGGCAAAGGCGTCAACCGATTGGGATTTAAGGGCGGCCGCCGGTCAGGGAGGCGTTTGGGATCGGGTTTTCTCGTCTTCTTCGCCTGTAGGTATCGCTCCCAGCTTTCACCAAATTTTCACCCAACTTTCTTTTTTTTCCCCTCCCATGTAAAACCACACACACTATTTAATGAGACGTTGGACAAGGTCTCAAAAGATTATTTCTTCTTGTTTCGCAACATAGATCGATTAGGAAATAAAGGGGAAACTCTAGATGATGAGTGGCTTATATTTTCAATATTGTGACGTGCTTGACTTGTTCGACGCCACGGGGCACTACGGACGTCAATCGATGTTTCCCCCCCGGCGCTAAAAACTTGCTGCTCGGTGTGAGGCTCCTTTTCTGAATTTCGGTGTGAGACGGTCCTGCACCAAAGTAGGTATGCTCGGGACGACGGCAGGACGGGTGGGCGTAACGGGTAGGTTAGGTAGCCTAGGAAGTGAGCGTGGCTTGTGTGGCTTATATGGCTTTGACTGATGGGTTTATTTCTGGGTAGGGAAGCTATGGTATCCGTGCCGGGAAGATGAATGCGTTGGTCTTTGGGTGTACGGAACGTTGTACAACTAGGACTCTAGCGTGTGCTTAGAGCTTGGCTTTGTATGGCTGTCGCTTATATACGCTGCTTTGAGAGTTCTCAGTATTGTCGAATTGTACCTCGTCCAACATGTGAAGAACCCATGGGTAACCAAAAACCCATGGGTAATTATCCAGAAACCGACCCATGAAATCCCAAACCGTCCTTGGGGATCCGAATTCTTGGGTACCCAGAATGCCCATGGGGATTCACATATTCCATGGGAATCCAGACTCGCGGCATTCCAAAGCCTACGAGCATGTCAAGGGTGACCGAACTCACCATTGCCCATGGGGACTAAAACTGCCAAAAGGGATCCTAACTTTTCCCCTTAACCCATGGGGACCCAAATTCCTGGGGATTCAAATTACCCATGGGGGCCCAAATCACGAAAATCCAGGAAGAATCCAAAATATGAATACCGTCATGCTACGACATCGAGCATGCTGACTTTTAATGGCCGCACCAGGATACCAATTACAACCAATTCCCTTTCACATCCCGACCGCCCATTAATTAGCTCATGGTCTCAAACCATGGGTAACCTGACATTAGACTAGTCTCGAATAATACTGAATAGTATGTGATGGTCCTAAGGCAGCAGACAATGAGCTTCCCTTGGTAAACGCTTCAAACATAGTTCTCACCCTACCTTATGAGCTCTTCGCTGAACACGCTTTCATGCACGGCTTCTTTCAACGCAAGATAAAATAGGTTCTCCTTATTGACATGGTTTTGGTGTCAAAGTAAATTGACGTAGGCCTTTAGAAAATCTTTCATTGTATGAACTATATTGTCGTGGCCTCATAGCGAATCCCATTCCCCTACGTAAACAAAAGGGGCTTTCGACGAACCGCCTAGACGCCATGCTTGTAAAGCGCTCAAAACACATACACCACACACACTTGCACACATCATTGCCATGCCTGGAAAGCAACACACGCACATCCCCGTTCTATACATGGAAAGATGAAAGAAGAGAAGTCGCTTTCGAGATGGTCCAGAATCTTCCAGTACCTCGCCGTGTTACATCCTCTTCCCCTTTATTCCAATTCTCTATTACCACCACCTACTCATCTCCCCGTTGACCGGCCGCCTTTCCTCCGGAAGAAGATTAGATACGGCACGTCACTGCTGCCGTTCCTAAACACCGTATCGCTGAGGTCAGACCCTCGGCCCGTCCCATCGATTACAATTCTTGTGACCTTGGAATCGTTGAGTTTGTACCAAACCGTAGGATCGGCGTTATGGGGGTCCCTGACATAGGCGTAGTAGTGCCCAGTACTGATCGATGATCCTGAGTGGACAATGACAGCATAGCACTCGTAGTCGAATGGGAGCTCAAACTTCTCGTCCGGCGGAGGACCCACGGTCTGGCGTTCTTCGGGAGGTATAAAGAACTCGTCGAGGTTGAATTTGTTAAAGTCCCAGGTAATTTTGCTGCTGTCCTTTGATGCTCTGCTGTAATCTTGGTAGCTGAAGCGTTTCAAAGAAAGACAAAACAGCTCGGGCATCCGTGCCAGCCTAGACTGCTTTCTGCCCTCTACCTTCTTGTTGCAATTGTCGCATTGATAGTCGCCTAGAATTTCGGGTTCGAGCAGCGATCTCAAGCAGTCTTCGAGGGTATGTAGCCTCGAGTTGACAGGCACCGAAAGGAAGTCGTAGTGAGACCAGGTGTATGTGCGGTTGTTGCACTGCGTGCAGACCACGGTTGAAAGTTCCAAGCCACGCCAGTATTTGTCAACGATGGATGAGTTCTTCCTTTGGTATTGGCCCCACCACTCGTAACTGCCTTGCAACATTGACTTGCCGCCCCCCATTTGTGGTGGAGGAATCTTGTCTGGGTCAGCACGGTCTCGACGTTGGTTTGTCTCGTCGTGGAGGTACGTCAGGAGCCATGACATGAACTCTTGAGCATCCTGTTGTCGACTGCCACCGAATTCATCACCCTTGTCTTTGATACGGCTCTTCTCACAGACTGACCGAGAATAGTCCTGGTGCTCATTAGCATTTGCAACACGAATGGGGGTGGGCAAAACAAACCATAAGCGTTTGAGCCTTCATGACGTCAAACTTGCCAGAGTCTAGCCAGTGGAACAAGTTGGACAAGATCCGAGACATCAGCTGGGGGTGATCATTCTTCTCGTCGGCTTTCCTTGGCACCTTGTACATGTTTTGCCACTCGAACGAGGCGAGGTCCTTGCCAAACCCAGGCGACATCCGAAGGACTTGAATTGTGCTGTTGGCATAGCACCATACACCAGGGTTATTGAGACCTGTGATATGTTGGCCATCCTTGACGGCATTTGCGATCGAGGGAGAATCTGGACGAGCGAGGGGGCCCTGCTTGAGATTCCGGGCTTGAACCGCCATGGCAATCCCGGCATGGGCCTCGTGGTCATCCTGGTTCTGTGATAAGCCACTATAACTCGGACGAGGTACAGCCGGTGCAGGTCGAGTAGGCGGCGATGGCAGCTCGGAATAGATATCGCCATGACCTTGGGGATAGCCATGATTCGGCCGATCTGGGCTGATTGGCGACTGCATGGATTCCTGCTCTGTGGCTACCGCAGGAAATCTTCTCAAGAATTCCTCTGTACTGCGGACATGCATGAAGCCGGGAGATCGTGCTGTCTCGATCTCAGCATTGTGCAAAGTTTCCTCCCAAAGTTTGACCTCCTCGGGCTTCAACGGCGTCACCTTGTACTTCCTGCTAGGCTTAGAGATGGAAATGGTAGGTTTCAACGGAGAACGAGCCATGGGTGCTCTCACAGCACCGGCAGTTTGTGACGTGGCGAGGGCGCTTCTGCCCATAAGGTCGGTCCAAGCATCCAAACCTCCTTGCAGCAGCTTAGGGGGGTTCTTCAGGTCTTTGCCGTAGTTGAAGTACGTTAAGGCGCGTTGAAGGGATAACAAAGCGGCGGCGTCCATATCGGGAGAAATGTACCGTGGTATTGAGTCCGAATCCTGGTCGTGAAATACCACGAGATCAAAAGCATCCCGCCTTTCAAAATGGTGGTATTCCTGGGGCGGCGAGAGAACCATACTCTCAGCTATTTGCTCCGATGTGATATTCTCTCGCAGGAGAATGCTAGGTTCAATGCAGATGACCGCTTGCGAAAGTATGTGGCCTTCGTCAAAGTCCTCCCGGCCTCGGACGTCAATGATCAAGACTTGTAGGGTTGCGGAGCCCCTTTTGATGTAATTCATTAAATCTTCAGCAGTAACGGAGTCGCCCTCGGGTATCGAAATGCTAGACGTTCTGGGAGTGGCGGCAGGGTTGGAGGCAGTGAAGTAGTCAGAGGATGATCTGCCAGTCGTAACGACGGTATTAATCGATGCTGAAGAGCCTGTCCGACTAAACAGGCCTCTTGGTGTACTCGAAGGTAGTGAAGCCGCTTCGTTGGATACGGTCCCCCTGGCCGGGCTATAGATCGCATCTGGCATCTTGGGCAAATCCGGAAGGCTTGTCACGACAGCCACCTTTGGCTTGTCAGGCGGATCTGGCATCGCTCTCGGTCCTGCCGGTCTTGGGGGCATAATGGGGTGCGTCCGTATGCGAGGATCCTGGCCGGGCAATGCTACCGGTCCTCGCAGATTGGCAAAGCGGGCAGCTAGGTCCTCGGCGGCCTTGCTCTTAGGAAGGCCAGGGCCGCCTGCCCCGGAACGTATCACGTTTCCATGCAGCGACTGGGGTTTCGGTTGGACGGCCGGCTTCGTTTTCGTTGCCGGCGACCCGTTGACCTGCGTCCCGGCTTCGGCTCGTGTGGGGCTAAGGACCGGGGGGCTTTGCGGTGTCCGCGGGCGGATGGCATCCCCGTTGCTGATGGAGGTCGGTCTTGATGTTGTGGGCCTGACGCCCGTCTTGTGATTATCCGCAATGATGTCCGCCTTGATCTTCTCAAAGTTTCCATGCTGTGAATCTATCTTCTTCATGAGAGCAGTATAAATGCGGTTCAAGTCCCCGCGGCCACCCTTAACCGACACGGACTCGGTGTGCATAGGGACGTATTTGACAGCAATTAGGGAGGCCTTGATGTACTCCTTGAAGGCCATATCGGGTCGACCAAAGTCGCGAAAGGTCTCGGCTTGTCGCATGGCGTTGTCGGCCATCTCAAGGATTTTGCGCAAGGGTAGGTTCATATCGATGTGAGGAGCGGTGGATGTGAGGTCATCTATATGTGGTAGCGGGGGCTTGCCGCCGCGGCCGGCAGAGCCCCCATCTCCGCCCATAGCGAAGGTATGTAATCCGGAGCCGTTGGATAAGGCCGGACCGCCGCCGCCGCCGAGGACGGTTCTGGTGGCTGAGGAGGCCGTGGAGCTCATGTGAACGGAAATGGATGTCTTGGAATCGGGTGTGAATCTTGAATCATGTCGTTGTAAGCTTGGTGACTCGGATGCAGGACAATGAAGCTATCGATGGTAGGGTCGAGGAAGTGTGGAAATCGGAGTCGAGGTAGGTGGGACGAGGACAGGACGCGGACGCAACGACAGTCGGCGACGGGTTCGTCATGAGTGGCAGAGACGGAGACTACTATTGTAGGCGTCGTTTGGGTTCGGCCGCAGGATCGTTTATTTGGGTGCTGCAGGGCGGGCTTGAATGGACATTGTTCTCTAAGTCGAGACGAAGCTCGGGAAAAGAAAGGTGGTGGTGTCGTCAGGTTGGATGGGCCAAAGGAAAGAATGTCTGTCTTTGATGGATGGAGTTGGAGGTGCGCAGCGGTCCTGTGAAAGCCAGATGGTCCGTGGTGGAGGGACAGCCTCGTTGGCTGGCGCTAACAGTTTCAACAATATAAAGACATTGTGGAGAGGAAACGGTACCGTTGCGGCGGCTGTGCTGGGGAGGGGTGACTCGGTACCTTTTCCGACAGGGACCGTACTCTTTTTTCTAGGCTTGCCAGGGCGTTGCAACTTGGGCTGGAGAGCAGGGGCATCAACCACCTTCCATCACAGTGAAGGTCATCTCTTACTGCCCTGAGTACCTTGGCCACTGACGCATCCGGACTGAACAGCGGTTCGGGCACTGGAACTGGCGGGCAGTGCCCTGCTTCTTGTCCACGGCGGTCCACCTCAAGACAGCGGCCCCGAGTTTTGGGCGGCGACTTGCACTGACGGAGATGATCCACGTCCTTGGCCAGACAACTCACATCATGCAGCGCCACAACCAATATAACTTGGCTTATGAATGCCCACTTTAGGCAGTTGAATTATTTATTTCCTTTGATGAGAGCATCCGTCCCGAAAGTAAGATACATTGTTTGTTACTTGAGACCTGCCGAAGAACCCTACACCGGAAGCTGGTGAACATGAGGTAGTCAAGAACCTACCTACCTATTTGCTTGGGTGCAAGGTAGTCGAATCCCTTGATTACGTAGCTGCTCACTTGCCCAGGTGGTGGAAGGCATGTCAAGCCTCGAGAGTCTCCTTCCCGTGCTTCACCCAATCCAAAGGGTAGTTCAGCCTCAAATGGCACGCGCCACACATGCTCCACCGCCATCGTCATCGTGGATACGTACCTGCTCTGGGGGGGGACGGGAACGAGCTGAGATGGGCAGCAGGCCTTACCAAAATCCCCCAAATGCCCCATATCAATAATCCCCTGTTCCTTTGGGTTTAGCGCGGAGACCTCCGTTCGTCACAGGGCCGTGTTCCAAGCGGAGCAGCCACGAGTCCGCGACGACAGCAACCTGCCCGAAGATGCTTGAGTTAGACTCCTCCAACCCAAGGCAGCGATTCTAACTCCACCGTCCGACACATTCCAACCCCTGCTCATTCGTACTAAGCCAACGTAACTCAGTAAACCTCGACTGTGCTCGACACTATTGCCCGCAGCTGCCCACGCCTCCACTGCTTTAGCCTATGCCGACTACGCCCAAGCCTGCTGCATCTCCAACTAGGCCTTACCTTACTGTGTACGCACACCCGACCCTGAGGCTGCTGCATCTGGCCAACCATTAGAAACACACACAAGCTTTCCTCTTTGCCTTTCATCCACATCTCCTACATACATACGCGCAACCCATCTGATCCGCTTTACGTACGACGACAAAGACGACGACAGCCTCGCGATTGCGCGCCTACTTCTCTCAGCTAGATAACCCATCCCCGACGATCGATAGACGCCTGTTTGTTCTAGCTCCCCGCCCGACACAACACTTCCAGCCTTCAAAATGATGGGCTGGTGGTCCAGCTCGGCCAACACGGCCTTGGACGAGCAAATCGAGAAAGCCACAGGCAGCAGCTTGTATGACCCTTTGTCATCCCTCGTAACGCTCTTCTGACCTTGATACAGGGAGGATATCGCCCTGAATCTCGAAATCTCTGATGTCATCAGATCAAAGACCGTTCAGCCCAAGGAGGCCATGCGCTCCTTGAAGAGGCGCATCGGCAACAAGAACCCTAATACCCAGTTGAGCGCACTGAATGTAGGCCTGCGTTGCTGCCTGATCACTCGTGACTGGACTGACCCTACCCGCAGCTCACCGACACGTGTGTAAAGAATGGAGGCACTCACTTCCTCGCCGAAATCGCCTCGAGGGAGTTCATGGACAACCTGACCTCTCTACTCCAAGCTGTCGGACCCGCCGCTGTCAACCACGAAGTCAAGCAGAAGATCCTCGAGCTGATACAATCTTGGGCCGCCGCCACCGAAGGGCGTCTTGAACTGGGATACATTGGAGAGGTCTACAAGACATTGCAGCGGGAAGGTCACAATTTTCCTCCCAGAATCAGCGTCTCCAGCAGCATGATCGACAGCAGCGCGGTAGGTTCTATTTCACGGCTGTAAATCACCTATCCTTCCGACCTAAGCTGATATCCTCTTCTCAAAGCCCCCCGAGTGGGTAGATTCAGACGTCTGCATGCGATGCCGAACCGCCTTTACCTTCACGAACCGAAAGCATCACTGCCGAAACTGCGGCAACTGCTTCGATCAACAATGCTCAGCCAAGTCGCTACCCCTCCCCCACCTCGGCATTATGCAGCCCGTCCGCGTCGACGACGGCTGCTATGCGAAACTCATGGATCGGTCGGCCAAGGGAGGTGCCGCACCACCCTCGCCGCTGCCGCAAGACCGATCTCCCACCTATCCCTACAAGACTCGAAGCACATCGGCCATGCAACCCCGTAACGCCCGTGTCGACGACGCATTCGACGAAGACTTGAAGAAGGCGCTAGCTATGAGCTTGGAGGAGGTGAAAGGCTACTCTCAGGGCTACATTGCACCTACGGCCAATGGTCCTTCGGGTCCAAAGGTGAACGGAAGCTCTGCGCCTGCAGTGTCTTCCGGCGCAGAAGAGGAAGACGACGACCTCAAGGCTGCCATTGCCGCTTCGCTAGCTGATATGGAGGAGCAGAAGCAGAGACATGCGGCAGTCTTGAAGGAGCACACCTCGAGTGCTGGGCCGAACCCTACGCAGCAGTTTTCCCTGCCCAAGAATGACTACGAGCTTACACCGGTTGAGGCTGAGAACATCAACCTCTTTGCAACTCTCGTCGATCGCCTGCAAACGCAACCCCCAGGCACCATCCTGCGCGAGCCCCAAATCCAAGAACTTTACGATAGCATCGGCACACTGCGGCCTAAGCTTGCCCGTACTTACGGCGAGACTATGAGCAAGCACGGTGAGTCACCCCGAAACCCCAAACGTTCCTCTTCTAACACGGTTTCAAGATACGCTACTCGATCTGCATGCTAAACTCTCCACCGTTGTCCGCTATTACGACAGAATGCTGGAAGAGCGCCTGTCCAAGGCATACAGCCAGCATGCTATCGGAGGAGGATATAATCTCCCCCCTCGTCAGTCTGGCGCTTATCCTACACTGCAAGGCAGTGCACCTGGGGGTGCCGGTCCGGCCGAGAACTTCTATACCGGATCACAACAGATGGATTACGGTCAGGCACCGCCACCCCAAGCCTACGCTCAGCACCCGCAGCACACTCCACAACCTCAATATGCGACTTTTGACAAGCGTGCTTCTATGGCTGGTCCGCTGGGAGGACCGTACCCTGGCCAGGAGCCTCAAACGACGGATAGCTGGAGAAGCGGAGCTGGTCCCGTACCTGACGGCCAATACGCGCCTCATCAGCCCTATGCTCCAAGCGAGCCTCCCCAAGCAAATCACCAGAACCAGCCAGGTCAGCCCCCAGGCACACCCTCGACGGATCCTAATGCTTCTTACTACTTCAACCCTCAGCAGCCCAGCGCACCTCCTTCTGCTCCGCCGAATGCTGATCCCAATCCGTCCCCGTACCCGAATCTTCAGCAGCCAATGCAATACCGACAGCCCATACCACCCCAACAAACACCTACCCAAACACCTGCTCAGCCGGCACAGCCCACGCAGCAACAGGTCCCGCCCCAGCAACAAAGCTACTGGCAACCGTCAGTACCGCAGCAATCGGCGCACCCCCAACAGCATTGGCAAGGCCAGTACAACAGCGGATATACCCAGGAATCATTCCCTTCTGCTCCGCAAAACGCGCCTAAGCAGCCAGCAGTGGAGGAGAGTCTAATTGATCTTTAAAAGAGAGGAGAGTAATCAGGAAGCATGCAGGCCATCGGTTCTCGGCGTTTCAGGGTCAGGGAGAGCCCAACACTAGCATCTTCAGACTTGAGAATGAGCTGTAAAATGAAACTTTTTATTGGATCACATTTACTATTCAATGTGTGGCTGTGATGTAGGGAACCTGTCCCATCTATCGACTCAGGTCAGAGATCCCAATTCATCTTTATTTCCATAACAAGCTTCACGCACGTGAACTGTGCTTGCCTGGGTGAAGAGTATAGCTCTTCAGAATGGCTTACCCAATGTTTCTTCGCTCGTTACTATCTTTTCGATCGATACTAGGTAAGCATCATTCAAACTAACACTCTTCTTGAGTCACAAGTCCGCCGGGGAGCAAGTCTAAAAGTAGAAATTCATTCCACCGGCTTTTGATGGAGTCGGCCACCCGCTCATCATGCCGAGCCAATCACACACTCAACGACCAAGCCCGCGTTCATCCCTCCGGCCAACCACGGCACGGCGCCAGCGCGGCATGAGACTCCACTTTCCGCCCCGGTCATCGGCGCCGAATGGTGCGACCGCGGTCCGCTATTACAGCCTACAGCTTTCGCGAGAGTTGGAACCAGCAACGCGAAGCGCCCCTACGTAACGCAAGGTACAGTACCTTAGAAGGCCTTACGATGGCCCACGTGGAATATCGTCAGGTGTCGTGATTACTCGACTCGGGTACCGGTAGCTCATTAGGCACTTCAGATTCAATTCCGTCGCACGTCCAAGGTAAGGCAGGTTCATCTGAGTCATTTCTAGACACAAGGCTTGACAGACTTTCCCGTTCCCTCCGCCGACTGCCCACCCACACCAAACAAGGAAACTTTCCCGAGGACGGGGGGAGGGACGCATTACGTAGCTCACTTTCCACAACGAAGCACTCTCACTTGCTAGACCTTTTTATATATAACTGGATCGTGAACCATCCGACATCTATTCAGAAACCGTTCTTTTTTTGTCTGCCTTCGTTGTGAAATCTAGAGGTTCAATTAGATCACATCAACTTTTTTCTGGCTTCGATAGAACCAAAGACATTGTGCAACAAGATACAACGACATTTTCTACTCCGCCACCCCACCATCTCACCACCATAGACACAATCCCTCATCTAACTATACCTTGACGGACACACATTTTTTCAAGATGCCCGTCCAAATCCACCTCGTCCGCCACGCCCAAGGCTTCCACAACCTCTCCCTTGAAAACGAAGCCCTCCGCGACCCCCTCCTAACAGAAAAGGGCAAACAACAGTGCGCCGACCTCCGCGCCGCCTTCCCCCACCACGACCGCATCACCCACCTCGTCGCCAGCCCCCTCCGTCGAACCCTCTACACCTGTCTCCTAGGCTTTGGTTCCGATTCCTCCTCTTCTTCACCTCCGCTGAAAGTCCTCGCTCTGCCCGACGTCCAAGAAGTCTCCGACGCTCCCTGCGACACTGGATCCGCGATCAAAGACATTGAAGCGGAATTTGCCGGCCGCGTGGATTTCGGCAGGGTGCCCGAGGACTGGATCGACAAGGCTGGCCCGGATTCGAGGTGGGAGCCGACGCTGGAGAAGCTGGAGACGAGGTCTGCTGAGGCGAGACGAGCGTTGAGGGAGCTCGTGGGCGGGAATGTGCAGGGGGACGCGCAGGTCGTGGTTGTCACGCACGGTGGGATTTTGCACTTTTTGACGGATGATTGGTACGGGATTGCTCCCAAGAAAGGTACGCTTTTTCCCCTTCGGGTGGTTTTTTTTTTTTTTGAGATCCATGTTTCTTCATTGGATACCTCATACGACTCCCAAATGACATTTGTTGAGTGAGACGGAAGCCGTGACTGACTATGTGCGTACGTAGCAACTGGCTGGGAAAATACAGAGTACAGATCATACGAATTCGCCGACGCCACGGGCCAGGACCCCAAGGCCCTCCTCAAGGAGACGCAGGAGAGCTGGCAGCGTCGCAAGGGCGAGGATACCCGCCCGACGCCGGAACAGCATGCCGAGCTCCGTCAGACCTTCTACCGTGAGATGGAGCCGTATCTCAAGTACAGCCCCGAGAGAGGCTGGATGCAGTAAGTGAGTGGCAAGGCGGGCAAGCACTAGACGGTTGTTACATGGGGGAGGACATAAATGGTGGTCTCGACATTGCGTGGGGGGCCTCTCTATTTGCATAGTACACAGCTTGGTATAATCCCAAACACCATAGACCTATCTAGAAACCTTTTTTACCGTTTTTATAAACTTTTAAAAGTCCTCCTCGCCAGACCCAGCAACAATAACGTTGTTGACCTTCAGGACCATACGGCATAATTGCGTTGCGAGCTGGAGTTGCTGCTTCTTGCTGATAAGGGGGTCGATGACAAACGCATCCTTCATGTCGTTGCTGCCGCGCTGCATGCAGTCGACACCGAGCTTGCCACGGACTCCAGGGCCGGCCTTGACCTGCTGACTCTTGATGTCGGCCAGTGTCGCGATGGGGTTCAGACCGCTGTTCTCGGCCAAAGCCATCGGAACGGCGTCGAGGGCCTCGGCAAATCCGCGCATGGCGTATTGCTCAAGGCCAGGGGTCTTGGCGGCGGCGTCCTCGACTGCCAATGAGCAGGCGATCTCGGCAGCACCACCACCGTAGACCACGCGGTTGTCCTTGACAAGGTTACGCACGACACACAGGGCATCGTGGAGGGAGCGCTTCGCCTCGTCGATGATCTGGCAAGCGGGATTAGTTTCAGGGGCAATCCCAAGTATTCTGTCAAATACTCACCATCTTGTTGCTACCGCGCACAAAGACGGTCACCGCACGGGTGTTGGCGCACTCCTCGATGACCAGCATCTTCTCTCTTGTTGTGCCAAAGGTCATTTCTCTGACGATACCTGCAGTTCCGAGCTTCTCGGGCTTGAGGTCCTCGAATCGCGGCACGATACGGCCATTTGTCGCAATGGCCACCAACTCGATCTCCGGTCCTCCAACCCACCGCACGGCGGGCAAACCGTTCTGGAGCAGGAGGTGGTTCGCCTCATCGTCGAAACCCCACTGGCAGAGAGCCAGGTTGGCACCGGCGTCCTTGATCTGTTGAATCATCTCAATAAACTTCTCGCGTTCGTAGCTCTGCAACTTCTTGTACTCCTCGACGCTGGTGATGTCGAGTTTGTGCTTGGTCTTGGGCTTGGGGGGCTCGAAGGCGCAGGTAAGAATGGCGATCTTGGCGTCCTTGACCTCGGAAGGCATCTGGGGGTGGGAGAAATCCTTGTCGATAATGACACCCTTGACGAGCATGGTGTCTTCCAAAGCTCCTCCGACTTTGCCATCGACCTTGATCAGCTCAAAGTCAACGTCCCTCCGGTCCAGGTCGGCAACGGAGAGGACAGCATCCACTGCGATCTGAGAGAACTGGTCGTGCGCCTTGGAGACAATCTTGCTGCCCAAACTTGTCCGCGCGACCTTGAGCAGGTTTCCTGTCTCTCCTTTGCTGAATTCGATGACATCTGAAATCTTGTCGAGCTCCGCCACGGCGATGTCGCAAGCCTGGTCGTATCCATCCGCGATACGGATGGGGTGGATTCCCTTGTCGATCAGCTCTGCCGCCTGCTCAAGGAGAGCTCCGGCGAGCACAACGACACCAGTTGTACCATCACCAATCTCGTCATCTTGCGACTTTGAAAGCTCTACCAAAAGCTTAGCGACGTGGTTTGAGATCTCCATCTGTTGCAGAATCGTGGCGCCGTCGTTCGTCACTGTGATATCTCCATCGGGGGAGATGAGGATCTTGTCGAGGCCGCGGGGACCCAGGGAGGTCTTGACGATGTTCGCGACCGTTCTGGCGGCGAGGATGTGGTTCTTGACGGCTTCGTTGCCGTATTGTCTTCTCTTCTTTCCTTGGCTGCGGGGCAATCAGTCTTGGGGCTCCGGTTCATGGAAAGAGAGGGCGAGCTTACTCTCTGACAACGATGAAGGGACGGCCCTGCTCATCCTTCATCACGGCCGCTATAGTGTCATTCCGTCAGTATGTGCAGTCTCGAAACTCGGATCGTGCGTGGTATTGCGTACCATTGGCCATATCAAGGTCTAGACATGATGTTAGCTGCATGCAACTATGAAAATTAAAAGGATGGGTGACACATACTCATAGCCATGTTGAAGGTGTTCGCACGTCGCTAGGGGTTTGTATAGGTAGTGCGATTCAGCTGGGAGTGACGCCGGGGGAGGAGAGGTATCGTGCGTTGAGGGGGGTTGAGCTCCAAGGACCGGGTCGTGGTGGACCAAAATTTCTGAATAATTGGTGGTGCCTACCATTCTGAGGGACCAGAAGCTTCGGTTGCCGGGGTGCAGATAATCCGGAGGCTCACCGCCTGGCAAGGCCTGGAAGGCAGCAGAAGTACCCCGCCATGGACGTAGTTGCCCCTCCATGGCTATTGCTGTGGCCATGACCCAAGCGCCGCAAGCGCCCCACACATGCCACTTTCACGCCAGGACCAAACTCAAGTCCACAGCGTCATCTCCGAAAAGCTGCAAATCCGGTTGTTAAAGAGTTTCGAACCCCCATACCTATCGAGTGAGTGAGTAATATCTCACACACATCTCACTCTCCGACTATTAAGCCTTGGTCTTCTACGACACCCCTCTCACCACTTGTCCACCAACAACACCAAACTCGCCTACCTCAACTACGTCAAGATGTCGCGCCACCAGGCAGTTCGCAACCTTGATTATGAGGAGGCCCTCGACGAATTCGAGGGCGAAGATTACGAAGAGGAGGGAGAGGCTGAGCAGCTCAGCGCAGAGGATCGGGAGGCGATGGCAATAGGAATTGCGACAGTGCAGAGTACTCTTGGCCCTGATGCCGACAAAGTGACTGTGCAGCAAATCCAAGAGTCGCTGTGGCACTACTATTACGACACCGAGAAAACGGTGTCTTACCTACAGAAGAAATTCATCGCACCTCCACCAGCGCCCAAGCAGGAGAAGAAGGTGGTCAAGGATGGTAAGTTCATTTTCTTTCAAGTTATGTGAGGTCAGGTTTCCCGGAGGGGTGGCGGCAGTACCAGAAGTTGAGCGTTTCGGCAGCAGACGGGTTTGGTTGCGGGGGCATGGACGACAAGACTACGACTTACGACATGGCATCAACTTCGACATATCCAGTTCCCAGGGTGTCACTCTCCCCTGCCTCTTACTTTCACGGTATTCCATGGATGAACGCTCCCAAGAGCCGACAGGCCGTCTTTGTTCCTCCTCGTTCCCTTCCCGGGGGGCTTCTGGGCGGCGGCGATGGGCCCAAGCTTTCAAAACTCCAGGCTCTTGCTGCAGCACGGAAGAAGAAGACGACCGAAGTGACCAAGACAGACGACAAGGTCGACCGAGCTGAGAAAAGGATGTCAACTCTTGCCATTGACGAATCGTCCAAGGAGAATCAGAGAGGCGGGTTGAGCATGCTAGCCAAGCGACAAAAGTTGGCAGAGGACCCCGCCGCAAGGACTCAGACCTCCAAATCGGTCTCACCACCGCAGCAAGCCGACGCAGCCTCTGAAGCAGTCAGTATGGATGTCGACATAGCCAAGGGACTTTCTACCGAGGATTGCGAGAAGGCTGAAGATGACTGCTTCGTGGTGCCATCTTCAAGACCGTCTGCCTTTGCTCAGACACTGTTCGGACCTGCTCAAGATGCTGCCGCCGCCTCTCAGACGTACTCCTTGCCGTACATGGACTCTTCAACCTATGTGCCCAGCGCTTTCTCCCAACCAAGCCCCGACGATGTCGTGCTCGCTGCTCAGGCGAAAGGTTCGCGATTCGCGAAGACACAGTAAGATGCTGACTCTAATACTCTCTAGCGGGCTCCAAGTTCGACGCTGCCGCGAAGAGCGCAAGCAAAAAAGTGGTGGCCAAATCAAGTGGCTCACAAACCCCAAATTCCGAGATGAAACAACTTCAACTCGACGATTCAGCAGCACCGAAGAACAAAAAGCTGGATGTTGTGAAAGAGTTCGCAAAGAGCGAGAACAAGAGAAGTGCCAGCTTTGTGGTGGTCGGTAAGTGAATTAGCACCTTTCTTCTCCTCCATGTTCCTCTAACACTCAATAGGACACGTGGATGCTGGCAAGAGCACATTGATGGGCAGATTGCTCCTGGAGTTGAAGTACATCGAGCAACATCTGATCGACCGCTATCGACGCCAGGGCGAGAAGATTGGAAAATCGTCATTCGCCCTTGCCTGGGTGATGGATCAGCGAGAGGAGGAGCGCGAGCGTGGTGTCACCATCGATATCGCCACAAATATGTTTGAGACCGAAAAGACACGGTTTACGATTCTCGACGCCCCTGGTCATCGGGACTTTGTCCCCAATATGATTGCTGGAGCAAGTCAGGCAGACTTTGCCATTCTCGTGATTGACGCCAACACCGGAGCTTTCGAGAAGGGCTTGAAGGGCCAGACAAGAGAGCATGCTCTACTCCTGAGGAGTCTAGGTGTCCAGCGGGTCATCGTAGCTGTGAATAAGCTGGACATGGTCGGGTGGTCAAAGGATCGCTTTGATGAGATCTCGGAGCAGGTCACTGGCTTCATGAAAGGCAACGGCTTCCAGCTCAGGAACGTCACCTTTGTACCCATATCCGGACTCAGCGGCGCCAATTTGGTGGAGAAGCCAGATGATGAGGGTCTGTCATGGTACACAGGTCCGACACTCATCGAAGCATTGGAAGACTCGGATCCCATGGCGAGAGCGATAGAGAAGCCATTCCGAATGTCCATCTCGGAAATCTATAGATCGCAGCAAAGCCAACTCACCGTAGCTGGCCGGATAGAATCGGGCACGGTGCAAAACGGCGAGGCATTGATTGTGCAACCCAGCGGAGAGTCCGCCTCAATACGATCGATCGAGGTAGACGCTGATGTACAAGAATGGGCCGTTGCGGGACAGAGCGTCAATATCGGCCTGTACGGCATCGACCCGATCCACGTTCGCGTGGGCGATATCATCAGCACCAAGGCGGCCCCTATCGAGACGAGCGACAGGCTGACAATGAAGGTGCTGGCCTTTGACCACTTGATGCCAATGCCAGTAGACGTCCACCGTGGTCGTCTACATGCGGCTGGAAGAGTCGAGGTCATCCCGGCCGTGCTGGATAAGTTGACGGGGGCGACGGTGAAGAAGAACCCCAAGATCGTGCAGCCGGGCAAGGTTGCGCGGGTTGTTGTCAAGCTGGACTCCAAGGTGCCGTTGGAGGCTGGACAGCGAGTGGTGCTCCGCAGTGGCGGGGAGACAATCGCGGCAGGGCTATTGGAATAAAACGGTGCAGAAACGAAAAGAAGCAACGTGGCGCGGATTCGTATATAACAGGTGGTGGGCACTTGACGACCGAAACGAGATACTTTCCATGCATGGCGTGCGAGTTAGGACAGGCGGCGCGCTGGCATTGAGGCTCGATTAGAGTTGGGGTCACTTTGGTGTGCTGAAAATAGAGTTGGCTGCAACTTTAGTTGAAGCGCAGCCAATGGGGGCGTGCCTAATTCATAACTTAGATATCCCGTAGATGCGAATTGATCAGTTTCCAAGTACCACGGATCCTTGATTAGGCTTGTGTCTTTTTACGAAGCAAACTAACTTCGCTCACTTTTTGCCATCCTCCTTCCTTCTTTGGGGGTCGATGACTCCGTGAATGTCTCTGTGTGTGTTTTTGGGGGTGGGATCTGGCATCATTCCAAGCGCTCAATCAATGATATCTTGCCTCTTGAAAAGGCCAAATAGGACAGATTGACATGGCCCCGTCCGGTTAAACCGACGGAAATGACGCCGTCGTGCCCACGCGCCGCCTCGGGAGAGCATGGGCCAGCAGCCAAAGCTCAGCCCCTGCATGCTTTCCCCCCCTCTTTACGGCTTGCGGGCCTTGGGTCCCCCCTCATCTCAGGGCGAAAGACGGGATGGCATTGCTTAGAGCACCTTAACTGAGGTAAAGTGTCGCGTACCTTACCTTGTCGCCCTCGCCTTACCTACGAATTAGCACCTTCCGCTTACCGTATTGCCGCGCTCTCTCCTTTCCCCTCCCCCCCGCATGCTGTAGGCCAGTGGTGGGAATATTGTCGAAAGGGGACAGGCGCGCATGGTCCCGAGATCGAGATGGATGGGGGTTGGACCGGTTGGTAAGTATGGAGTACGGAGTAAAGGCCACTCTGTTCCTTTCTGAGCTGCTTGGAAGTTGAATGGGACAGGTAACACACCACTAGATAGAGGACACTGCAAGGCTACCAAGATCGATTAGATGCCACCTAAGTATTTTTTGCAAAGGAAGTGGATAAGTTCATTGCCTATTGTTTTGGGAGCGAGTATTCCTTGCTGAATCGTGAGTCACTTCCGATTGGAGACAAATAAACAAACACAAGGTGCCTTTGAAGTTTGTCACGCTGCTGCGGCGTAGAACTCAACCGAAGCTGTGGAAGCAAAGCGAACAGAAAGGCCACGTTCAAGGTCCCAATTCCTAAACTCCCAGCAGGGGGGGACCACCTGTAATCGAAATCTCCAGAATCGCAGCCTTGGTGGGGCAGAAAGGAATTGACCCCAGCGCGGACGGCAGGCAGCGGCAGCGGTGAGGCGTGCGCACCTTGACTCCCGTGGCTAGGGGAGAATCCTCGCACGGTACCTGCTCACTGTCCTGCTGCAACGGAGATGTGTCCCCCGAAGCACCTAATTGCTGCCATCCCAACCATCTGCCGAGCAGCCAGTGCGTTTGGTACCCTCCTACTGCTGACCTGCAGGTGCTGAGTGCAAGTGCTGCCTTGTACGGAGTAAAAGACACCAAATAGAGTACGGCTGCACCAAGGGTCCACACAGTGAGGATCCACCAGTGACACCCATCCCCCAAAAGGAAGAGACCCCTGTCACGTGTGGCGCCTCGCAACGTGAAATCTGGCCTTTTGTGCAATCTGGACACCTCGACTTTTTTTTTTGGAGAAGGCATTCATAAAGGCGGCAGCTCTTCCTTTCCACCACCGACACTTTTGACCTCTCCCAATTCACCACTGCCAAAGCCACCTCAACTCGATTGGGTGTGTAAATAGTAGAAGGGAATCCAAAAACCCTCTCTCTACAGCGCGTCTTTTGACGTTTTCTCATTTCTTTTTTTCCCGACACCAAGAGCTATCCCAATACCACACAGGGGAGCTTCACGGCACCGCCAAAAAAAAACCACCACAATGTCGAGATCCAGAAACTCGATGGCCTTGGGCTTCGGCCTCTTGGCCTGGATGGCTCTCCTCTTCTCTCCCCTGGCTTTCGTTCAGACTGCCCAGGCTCAGGATACTGAGAGCTACGGAACTGTTATCGGTATAGTAAGTTGTATCTACCAGCTCCCTGGCGATGCGCCCCTTGTCGGCCCTTCCTCTGTCGCCAACGGAACCGAGTAAAAGTGGGCGACTATTCTAACTCCCAATCTCTAGGATCTTGGAACTACCTACTCTTGCGTCGGTGTGATGCAGAAGGGCAAGGTTGAGATTCTCGTCAACGACCAGGGTAAGTCTACATGGTCGCAGCTGCTCCTGCTCCCTACCCCCCGACTCTAGCAATTTTACTGACGCTTCTGCTTTATAGGAAACCGTATCACCCCTTCTTACGTCGCATTCACCGAGGAAGAGAGACTCGTCGGTGACGCCGCCAAGAACCAGGCCGCCGCTAACCCCACCAACACCATCTTCGATATCAAGTGAGCTCCTACCCCGACCGTCGACCTCTCAATATACATTGCTAACCATCTTCCAGGCGTATGATTGGCCAGAAATTCTCCGACAAGGCTGTTCAGTCCGATATCAAGCACTTCCCCTACAAGGTCATCGAGAAGGATGGCAAGCCCGTCGTCGAGGTTGAGGTTTCTGGCTCCGCCAAGCGCTTCACCCCCGAGGAGGTTTCCGCCATGATCTTGGGCAAGATGAAGGAGGTCGCCGAGGCCTATCTTGGCAAGAAGGTGACCCACGCCGTCGTCACTGTCCCCGCCTACTTCAACGACAACCAGCGCCAGGCCACCAAGGATGCCGGTGTCATTGCCGGACTTAACGTTCTCCGCGTTGTCAACGAGCCCACCGCCGCCGCTATCGCCTACGGTCTTGACAAGACCGACGGTGAGCGCCAGATTATCGTCTACGACCTTGGTGGTGGTACTTTCGATGTTTCTCTTCTGTCCATCGACCAGGGCGTCTTCGAGGTCCTGGCTACCGCCGGTGACACCCACTTGGGTGGTGAGGATTTCGACCAGCGTATCATCAACTTCTTCGCCAAGTCCTACAACAAGAAGAACAGCGTCGATATCACCAAGGACCTCAAGGCCATGGGTAAGCTCAAGCGTGAGGCCGAGAAGGCGAAGCGTACCCTCTCTTCCCAGATGTCCACTCGCATTGAGATCGAGGCCTTCTTCGAGGGCAAGGACTTCTCCGAGACTCTTACCCGCGCCAAATTCGAGGAGCTCAACATGGATCTCTTCAAGAAGACCCTCAAGCCCGTTGAGCAGGTGCTCAAGGACGCCAAGGTCAAGAAGGAGGACGTTGACGACATCGTTCTCGTTGGTGGCTCTACCCGTATTCCCAAGGTTGTCTCCCTCATTGAGGAGTACTTCAGCGGAAAGAAGGCTTCCAAGGGTATCAACCCCGATGAGGCTGTCGCTTTCGGTGCCGCCGTTCAGGCCGGTGTCCTTTCCGGTGAGGAGGGTACTGAGGACATCGTCCTCATGGACGTCAACCCCTTGACCCTCGGTATTGAGACCACTGGAGGTGTCATGACCAAGCTTATCCAGCGCAACACCCCCATCCCTACCCGCAAGAGCCAGATCTTCTCCACCGCCGCCGACAACCAGCCCGTCGTTCTCATCCAGGTTTACGAGGGTGAGCGTTCCCTTACCAAGGACAACAACCTTCTTGGCAAGTTCGAGCTCACTGGCATTCCCCCCGCGCCCCGTGGCGTTCCCCAGGTCGAGGTCTCTTTCGAGCTCGATGCCAACGGAATCCTCAAGGTCTCTGCCCACGACAAGGGAACTGGCAAGCAGGAGTCCATCACCATTACCAACGACAAGGGTCGTCTTACCCAGGATGAGATTGACCGCATGGTCGCCGAGGCTGAGAAGTACGCCGAGGAGGACAAGGCCACCCGTGAGCGCATTGAGGCTCGCAACGGTCTTGAGAACTACGCTTTCTCCCTGAAGAACCAGGTCAACGACGACGAGGGTCTTGGTGGCAAGATTGACGACGAGGACAAGGAGACTGTAAGTTGCCACAATGCCTTTCATGTGTACCGACATATTACTAACACCGCCATCAGATCCTCGAGGCTGTCAAGGAGACCACCGACTGGCTTGAGGAGAACGGCGCCACCGCCAACACCGAGGACTTCGAGGAGCAGAAGGAGAAGCTGTCCAACGTCGCCTACCCCATCACCTCCAAGATGTACCAGGGCGCCGGTGGCGCTGGTGGCGAGGACGAGCCCCCCTCCCACGACGAGCTCTAAATTCCATAGATTTGTTGTTGTTGCTTCGTTTCGGGATTCAAAAGAGACAGTACCCAAAGATTCCATGCAATTTTTCGTCTCTGGTGTTGGCAGGTTAATCGGCGTCGGCAGCATGGAGCATGACTCCACCATTGTGTAAAGTATACAACGCATAAATGAGACCTCTTGAACACACGTTTTGTCCTATTGTGTGATTGTGACTGAAACCGTCGTCCGATGCCTTTGTGAGCTCTTCAACGGTCCATTCTGACTACGTGGTTTCTATACTCCATATATCTTACGCTGCGGGAAGTGGCCCATCTATCCGTAGAGTGATGAAGTTAGTCCGGCATCTGACAACAAGGTTCGGCCCCTCCATGCTGTCACTCATCCACACTTCCCGAGGAGGACCCCATCAAGATGAAGGCAACTTAACTTTGCTGGCTGGGTGGGTACTTCTCTGCATTGGCAGGATGAGTGGTAGCACGGAATCTGCGGCAAGCAAACTGAGCCTCCAAGGCTTGTTCAAGGAATTTACAAGGACGAATGACTTAACTGATTCATACGTAAGCTTCTGTTTATCGAAGCTCTCTTGCCGTGTCCCGGTGCTATTATTATGGAATGTAAGTGCAGAACATTGCCAGTAAGGCTTCGTAAAGCCTCTTTTTCGAGGAGTCTGCAGCATAATCGTTGGCTATTGCGATGGCAAAGCAAGGCTGCCTGCTGCTCATTACGTCTATAAGTATATAGCATCACTGATATTTCAAAACGGGTTATCTTTTCGTGAACGAGATGGAGTTGCTCCGTACGGGCTGGCCGTACGGATA